AAATTGTAACCCTTATCCATCAATAGGATGGTCTTCATTAGTCTGTTCCCCACCATTTAACATGCCTATAAGCCATCGCCAAACAGATTATACTGACTATTCCATTAATATCCTGTATTCAGCAAATGGGGAGGAAATTGCATTATTCTGGTAACTGTTTAATGTTTGCCACCAGATACAGAAGGCAAATGTGTCCAGGAAATGCTTCCTGGCCCAATGTCACCTGATGAATAAGTCCAGACACTCCATTCATTTGCGAGGAAGCCACGAGAAATAACTGCAAAGAAAGTAGAGCTACTGCACACAGTAAGAAGTAAATGAGCTAATAAATACTGCCACGCTGTATCCTAGCATGCAAAGTAATGTTTTATTGCACGCTTTAAAATTAATACGTGCTATTTTGTTGTTATCAACACACGCTCAAAAACTCCTGATCCTTTACACTCTGCAAACCCGACACGGCGACAAATCAAAACCCGCTGTAGGCACTTCGTCACCTGAACATAGGAACAAAATACAACATGCCGAGCCCCCGCTCGCTCTGCCCTCCGCGAATAACCAATATTGAAAGCGGCACGAACCATTTTACTCTTGTCAAGATTAGTTTTCTCATCTGGCTCCAATAAGCCACGTCTGCATTTCCCTGCAATACCTTCTCCCTCTCTCCTACTTTACCTAAATATAACCTTTCAGCTGTGTCACTGGCCCGAATTTAACAAAAAACAAATAACCTCCTCCCCTCTTAAACCCCAACCCAGGCACGTAGCTGATGGCAATATGCTTCCTGCAGGGTCCCTCTATCAGCAGAAGAGAAGCAACATTTCCAGAGCATGACTCAGACCTTAGACAGGCTAAGCCACCTTTTGAGGATGTCCAAGTTTCTCAACCGACTGGGAAAGCACTTGGGGCAACCAGGCTTTTAATACACGTAAGATGAATCCTGACCCGGAGGCAAGGTGGCTCCACCAGTGGGGACAAGAGCTTTAGGACGAGGTGCATCTAGAGGGTCCATCTAGAGGGTATAGAGCAAAGGCTCCTAGAGCCTCCTCATCCAGTGGGGCTGCCAGCTCCTACCCAGAGCAAATCACACTTTCCTTCTCCAGGGAGTTATCTCCATCTTAGGGTGGAAAACTCACATCTATCCTGCCTGCAGTTTGGGGCCATTGAGAAGAGCGG